AATATAGAAAAATAGAGCTGAAAGAAAGAATCCTGACATTTTTTTCCCATTCATTAAGGTCACGTAAAGTACCTCTTTTTGTTTGCTGGAGCTCGTGATTGCTGGTTTTGCTAAACAGCAATTGCTGAGTGATTTAGAGAACATCTCCGCTCTTTTGTTTGGATTTCATTTGCAGAACCAGTTAGAGTTATAAAGCTGTCAGCTGAGGAGCATTCTATATGTTCTGTCAGTGAGGGCTTCATGTACACAGTTCATATTTTTCTCTTCATTTTGTGTGACGTTTGTGTTCTCCAGTTTGTAGCGCCGTGCCGCTTTGGATAGAAGGCGGCCATCCCTGCAGCCCCGTGGCCTCCTTTGGAGCAGGAGGAACCTTCAGAGTAATTACAAAATTCCATTGCAGATGTAGAAGAGTGTTGCCTGAGCGGCTTCGTGCTGTTCTTTAGGCTTTCTCTGCTGCAGGGTTTGCTGGGTGGAGGTGCTCTGGGGCTGTGTGAGCGCAGCCAGCTGGGGCAGCTGCAGTAACCTGCAGCAGAGCTGGCTTGCAAAAAGGTATACAAAGCAAAATAGTTTGGGAATGTTTGATTTTTTTGTCTAAAGATGCACTGTATGGAAGGAGAGAATGTCATCCTGTAATACATTTTTCTGGCTGGACGTATGCCTGAAAGTTAGGCAACTTGAAGGTGAGGAGTTCCACCTCTGCTCTGTATTTGTTACTTTGGGCAAGTTGTGGAGTTTGCCTTAAAACTGCCAACATGAACCATGCTTCCTGCCATGACAGCATTTCATGAATCAGAATATTACCTTTTGTTTCCAGTTGTATCCCAAAGCTAATTATAGTAAGATCTGAGTGTATAGGTACAGAAAAATGGAATGATGCTGTAAGCACTTTCCAAGGCAGGAAAAGCAAAGCTGGAACCGATCATGGATTTGCACATCACGCTCATGTAGGGTGGAAGGGAGGTTGGCAATCCCAGGCTGGCCTGGAATTTTGTGAGTCAATTAGCAGAAGTCAGGCAGATTTTGTGGAAGCTGTAAGTAAATGCAGAGTTCATGCAGGGGATTTGTAAAGATGTGAGAAGTGAAATATTTTTGTCACGGTTCGTTGAGAGGAAGCCAATACTACCAGTGCTACCTTGCAACCTTCCAGTATGGTTTTTGCTCCCAGTATTCCAAGGGAAAATACTGATCTCTAAAGATGGCTTAAAAAACAGAAGGGAAGAAGGGAGTACCTCTTTGCCTAAGCAGATTTTCTTTCAATTTAGCAATTGCAATTTTATTAATGCATTTTAGGGAACATCTTGATATTCAGCTTAATTTTCAATAGGAAAGTACAGCAGTGTAAATCCAAAGTGAGCTATAAATTCAGTTCACATAAATCATAGCGTTACCCTTATAAGCATGTGTAAGTTGGTTGTTACTGAAATGTAGATGAATCAAATGTTATTGTAGGATAACTTGCCAGCTGTCTTAATTTCAAAACAACCACAACTTGTTTTGTGCTGCATTCACTCTTTAGTATGGAGCGTGGAAACACAAACAGCTTTTGTGGAGTTTTTCTACTAAACAGTCAGCAGGTTTTAATGTAGGGTCTTAAATTATAATTGTTTTCCAATTTTCTGCTCCTTCTCCATAACGAAGGCACACATGATGCTATAAAAACTCACGACAGAATTAAGGGCAATGTTGCTAAATAGGATTCAGGAAGAGATTGCACTTTAATGTCAGAGATGTTAAGAACGAGGAAGCTGTGGATGGAGTTTTCTTAAGGAGCTCTGAGGAGACCACGGCAAGCTGGCAAGTCATGAGTTCTGGTTCTTTCTTCATACCAGCTGTGTTTGCTCAGCCAGAACAGCTCGGGCTGATGAAGGACTCGACGTGAGCCAGCAAGGTGTGCTCATAGCCCAGGGGGCCAGTTGTATCCTGGGCTGCATCAAGGGCAGGTGATGGAGCTAGGTGAGCAAACCAGGGTGTGATTGTGGGTGGGAGGCAGCAGGCAGGCCGGGAGGAAGGCGAGGTGCTGCAGTGTGTGCTGTCTCCTGGAAACATCCTTCCTTTCCCTTTCTCTTTGAGACCAAACTTGGATTGGAATGTTCAATGGGAACGGAGCTGTGCAGGAGGTATGAATGCAGCTTTACAGCACTTCTTTCTTCAAACAGGTTCATGCAGGTGGTCTATTCATGGAAATTATACATATTTTGCAGGAATAATTATTTCACAGGAATTGGGAAGTGAAGCTGTTGATGATGGAGGTGTTTTGCCTATAACAAAAATTTTCTTCCTTAGTCAAACCTATTGGAATTATAAGGTAAACTGCCTTCCTTAGGGATCAATACACATCTGTTTTTCATTTAAGAATTCATCTTCAGTTTCACTAGCCTTTCCTGTAGATTAGGGAGGAAATGCACCTTTTCAACTGTATATTTAGTTACGTTCCATTTTTTTGGCCAGGATAGGTACATCACAGGGAAGCTGTCACTTGAAATGGAGCAGACTAAATATGCTCGACTGAATGACTCCAGCACTGTCAACACAATCCACTGGTGTAATTAAGAAAGGAGATATCTCAAAGCTTTGCAGTATTCTAGAGGTATCAGATCATGCTGGTTCAAAAGGGATGGAAACTCTCTTTTTCCCAGTGCAGACACAAGTATTATGTTTCGCCCAGGACTGCTTACCCTGGAGCCCAGCACATCCCAAGAGCTGCACTTTGTTGTTGTCATCATTGTTGAATTTCAGCCTCTTTGGAAGAGTCATTCAAATCGTTTCGTAGAATTCCAGACCTTTCCTTTCATTAAGATGTAGAGAGGAGAGATAAAAACGAAGCGTTTGTCCTTGTGCCTATGAAAGTATTTCACCTACTTTGGTGATGATTGCATAGTCTTATATGCTGCTTTCAAAAAGCTCTTTTACCAGTGTGTTTTGTTGTATGGATAACTGTCATGTGTTATTAGGATCTCTTGACCATATTGAAGACAGCTGAGGACGAAGTACTTCTCATGATAAGAGGTTATCAGTGCTAGCTCTAATTCTGTGATTCTAGTAGAAATGTGGGAAAGACACCCACTGGTCCTATTTTGTTGCATCCAGCTCAAGAAGCAACACGGGGTTCTTCCCAATCTCCATAGTGTAAAGGAAGGGTTTCAAAGACTGGGTCACTGCTCAGTGAATCTGCTTAAATACCACTGGGCAACTGAAAAATGTGGACAAATCTTGCTCTGTGGTATGGCAGCTACAGTACCTGTGTTTGCTTCAAGCTGCTTCTAAGAGAATGCATGCTGCTTTTTTTTTCTCTGTTGTGTGCTTGAAAAGAACACGTTCTGTTAACAGCATGAGGGAATCTCAGACCACTTTGCTTCTGAAACATACAGCTATCAACAAATTCCCCTGCGCTCTGCTGTAAAGATGATGTGTATGTATTCTGCTGGCAGACTGATGGGGAGGAATATCATTAGAACTTGAATGATGTGCATTGTCTGTCCCACCCAAGCTTTTCTTTTTTGAGATTTTAAGAAAAGACTTCAGTGGCTTCCACTGCATAAGGATAAATTTAGCCTTGAGAGCAATGGAAAGCAGTCCTGCAGGTTGGGGGGATGTGATTGCTCTGAAGCCTCAAACGGGTGCTGGGATTTCTGCAAGGGCTCTGCAGGGGACAGACAGATCACTGATGGGATTCTAAAGGCTGTGACAGTACAGCGAATGGTGGGCCTGTGGGTATGCCCCAAAAGTCAGAAGGGACCATTTTCTCTTCTGAATCGCTACTTTGGGTTTTTCTGGTTCTTCATTTTCTTAGATCTGTAATTTTTTTTACTGTTTTTCGCAAAGAGCACAAAACTGGACTGATAAAATCAGTTGCAAAGCTTCTTGGTGCTTAAGGATTGCTTCCGCAACGTTTGTGCTTTAAGAAGTTTCAGCAAACCTCTCTGCAGAAACAAGTCCTAGTCACGTAGATGTTCTCTACATCACTTTAAAGCATGGCTCTCATTTACATTTCCATGTAAAATCCAGGCACCCCTCAAAGGCTGTTTTGCAGGGAAGAAGCAGAGCTGCACCTGCCCCCATACAGATGCACTTGCTGAGCTCCGGCCTTACGCCCTGCCTTGGGGCACTGCAGTGGGAGGCATGGGGAGGGCTGTCAGCCTGTCAGACCTTGTGCCTGCCCTCATGGGATGGAGGCTGTGCAGGTTCCAGCTGCTCGGCCATCCCACTGAGCTCCTGCCATCGCTGGGAAAGAGCTGGAGCCACCATCATTTTTGCTGACCCAGCAAAAGGCAAACTTTGATGTCACCCTCCATGCCTGGCCGGTATCTAGGTAGATTATGTTATTTAAAGCTGACCAAAAACTTATGAAGGACTGGGGGGTGCACAGTCATGATCTGCATCTTTCCCATTTTTATAGGGCTAGTCTATAGGAAAACAGCATGCACTGAATTCGTGGTAGGATAAAAAAGGTTTGAGTAAACCTATGTTGATCGTTCCTGGACAGTGTGCCCCAAAGCCCCTTTGGCTGTATTAAAGGATGGTTACAAACTCTTTGTCAGTATAATAACCCAAGAAACCCACGTGCATGCAAGTTGTTGTATTTCATGGTACAAACCAGCACGTTGAGCTCGGTGCAAGTATGGAGTGTGTGGCTGCTATGGCGATTAAAATACATAAATAACAAAGATGAGTATGGACCCCATTAGAAATTCATTACTGGCAGCCTCAGCGCGGCTGCCTCCCATCGCTGCGAGCAGCCCAGGGCTGTGCTCCAGAGCGGGGGTTACGCAATGGCCCCGCACCACCTTGTCAGCGAGCAAATCCGACCCAAAACTAGCAAACAAAGGGCTTTTGTGCGCGTTTTGTGGCTCAGCGAGGATCAGCGGCCCCACGCAACTTTCCGGCAGGACGAGTTTAGCGCCGGCACACCTGGGAGGGGACCAGGAGGGACGCGAGGTGCGGAGATCCCGGTCCGATACCGGGCGCAAAGCGGAGAAGGGTTAAACGTGGCTCCTGCTTACCTGGCTCTGCGCTGATGTGCTGCTGAGCGCTGGGCTGCCCTACGGTGCAGGTCGCTGTGAGCTGGGCTGCTGGCTGCCAGCAGATCCGCAGGTCCCCTGGCTCGGCATCCTCACCAGGACGCGGGCTCCCGCTGGCTCAGATGGCTCCTTCTTCCCCGTGCTCCCCTACCATCCTCCTGCAGAGCTTTCCCCTTCTGGGTGCGGGGCAGTGCACTTGTCCGGTGAACTTCTCCAGGAGAGATTCGATCTGCACACAACGCCGTGGTTCTTTGAGCAGGGCAGCAGGAGCCGAGGCGCTCCCTGCCCTCAAAGCCCGGTGCGAGCGCTGGGAGCCGAGCAGCTCGTCATGGTGATCCGAGTTTAACTTCAGGGGGGAGGGAGAAAGTGCAAAGCAAACTGAATGCCGTAGTGGAGGTTTCTCTCTTCCCCCACTGGGCCCCTTGCCGACTGTTTTTATTGATTTCAATCACTGGAGGCTAGCGAGCTCGCAGAAGAAACACTGTGTAATGTGTTCTTTCCTGGCTTTCATTAAAGAAACTCAATGCAGTGCGGTCACGCTGCCGAGCGCGCCTGGCAACCTGCCTACACCCTGTGGTACCTCTTTCATTGGAGGAGATGGAGCTCGTGGTTTGTTGGGTTTTTTTGGTTGTGTGTTTTTTTGTTGTTGTTGTTTCCCTCCCCCCCTTCCCCCCCCCCAGCACTGATTTCAAAACAGCTTCTCTGCCTCTACCTTCGCTGAGTCCACAGCCAGATAGAGCCGGGAGGGGCCATCAGCACCCGGGGGGGACGATGGTGTGATAGCAGCCTGGCTGCTGAGACAGCCTCATCTGCTTGTGAAAATCCCTCCGTGCACTGCTGGCTATGGGGGCTGCAGTTGAGCCGCGGGGATGTGGATACAAATGCTTCCCGAGGGTTCCTTTTTTGTTTTCCCCTTTTTCTCATTTCTCTCTTGCCCCGATTGGTGAATGTGGTTTAATTAAGGGTTCTTAGCCTTAGTAAGCAAAATCCTTCTGCAAATATTCAAACATTCCTGGCAGTGCTGGAGTTGCAAATGAAGCAGAACTGCATTCCCTGAGCTGCAGTCGTGCCGTTGTCTTAAATATTTGTGTTGCATTTAGGACTCTGATACTGGTGGAGAAAAATGAGAACTAGAATATGGTCCTAATTTATGCTTTCGAGCTTCATCTGTTACAGTATGTACTTTATAGGAGCAAACAATCTATAAAGTGGAACGCAACAAGCTCCTTTTGTAAGGCTTATTGCTCTGCGTGCCTGTAAATGCTTTCATTTAAGTTAGTAAATAGCTGGATTTCTTCTTATTCAGCAGTTCCTAATGATTACACTTGATGTGCTCTTCAGAATGGGGTGTAGGTCTGTGCAACACGTAAAGATCACATCGCTGCTCATTGTCTGATCTCAAGGTGCACCCATTGCAAATGACAGCTGCAAATTCCAGTGCCCCCGATTGCCGTGCCTGTGTATGTAAGGACATGTTTGTTTTGCTCTTTACATTGACACAACTGCTAAAAAAACCCTTTCCTGGATCAGGAAGATAAAAAGCTTGTTCTTATTTAAGTCTGGCTTCCTGCAGAACTTGTTTGAGGCTTTTCTGCCTGGGTTGCATCCATACAAACCTTTCCAAATCAACTCAATGTAATGTATTCCCAGCGTTTCTGTTGCCAAGAGCTGAGATGTCAACAACAGCTGGCTTTCATGAAAAATGTTAATTATTTCTTTGTACGATATGTAATTAAAAAAAATCTCCCTCTGTAAGTCCACAGAGGAGATATAAGGAAATGCATTTCCACAGCCATTTACTTTGAATCAAAGCTTGCTTTCTGCGTGGCAGTGAAATGTTGTATGCCCTTTATTTTCACAAGGTGCTAAATGATAGAACATAGTTATTTAAATCCAGTGTGACTGTGAACTATTTAGTGTCAGTTCTATAGCTGCGGTTGCGGTGCGGCTCTTTGGCAGGCCTCAAAGAGTAAATCATTTGTCAGCCTTTCTTTTACAAACCTTGCATCGAAGGATTTGCCAGCTTTTCTTCTTTGCAGGTTTTGATCCGTGGTTATAGATTCTGCTTTTTGCAGTGGAGCTGGGGGATGGCCGTGTGCGTTGTGTATGGCAGAAACGTTTTGTGTGCTGGGATGATAGGCAGGGCACACATGGGGCAGGAGGTAGGCAGAGCCTGTTGTGTGAGGGGCCAGTCGTCCTGGGCAGCAAACAAAGCCCCTTTGACATTGCTCTATGTTAAAGGTTATGAAATAACATCGGCTTAATGAGCAAACAGAGCGACACAGTGCTGCTACTGTGCAGCGAGCTGTATCCCCACTCCACCTTCTTTCTCTTTGGAGTTCACAAACGTGAAGCCTTCTTTATAAGCCTTATTTGTCACTGTCGGGCATGCTAAAATTGATTCCCCCGAATTTCTGATGTTGCTTGCTTTGCTGCTGTGCTGGCAGAAGGAGATAGCAGCTCTCTGACTTTTGGAGGAACTGGGCTCATTGGTGCTAACAGTCACTTCGGTTTCCTTCCTTTCTCCAGCCCTCTTCCTGTCGCCTCTGCCAGGTTTCCTCTTCCATCACCTCTGCTTTTCCAGTCCCTCTCACTGTAAGGGTTGGTATTCTCAGTTTGGAACTGCTTAGCAAGATTGCTTAATCAATCATTGAATCATAGAATGGCTTGAGTTGAAAAGGACCTCAAAGATTTCAACCTCTTTGCTGTGTGCAGGTCACCAACCAGCAGACCAGGCTGCCCAGAGCCGCATCCAGCCTGACCTTGAATGCCTCCAGGGATGGGGCATCCACAGCCTCCTGGGGCAACCTGTTCCAGTGCCTCACCACCCTCTGCGTGACACTGCTACATCCCCTGCTCACTTCAGTTTGAAGTGGTTCCCCCTTTATGAGAGGTAAACTCATTGCTAAAGTCAACCTGTAAAGTATTTATATGCGATATTTCCAGATAACAAGTAACAATGGAAAGTGTTAACTGATCTCTAAAACTGCCACAGCTGAGGCCTGTGGAGTTTTTGAGTCAGATGTCTCAGATTATTTATTTATTCTGTATTATAAATCCTACATGCAAATTGGAAATTTTGAGGCTGGCACTGATGAAAGGCTCTATTGGCAGTCCCAGTCCTTCGCATGCAGAGTGATGTAGTGTGGCATGAACCCTTGCAATCTGCTTGAAGACGTCTGAGCTCACATCTTCTTTCCCTCAGAAGTACGACAGTGATTTTTCTGAGCACATAAGCTAAAGATCCGAGGGTCCTTTTCAAAGCATGGCACCCAATGGCAATCCCCCTTTTACAGCCCCTTTTCAGGCCTTCTGGAAAACTTCCAATGGAAGGCTCCCACCTCCTTAATCATGCCGGAGCGCTGCCTCTCCTCTCAGTGCCACTCATTCAAGTGTGCTGACCTGGCCTGACCTCGTGGAGATGGAGACCTAATGAGCCCACGGCCCAAGGTGCTGCGGGAGCTCTCTGCAGGCTTTGCACATAAGCAAGCGTTGTGGTTTTTCGTACGCACGTGTTTTAAATTTATCACGTCAATAAACAAGTGTATGGCACGCTCAGACAGGGCCTTTACAATGGTGCAGTGAGGATAAATTGCAGCGCTACAAATTGCGGTGTCACGTTATAAATATAGAGGGAGACAACGTGGGATATTTATGGCCTCGGCACAATGGAGTCCCCTGTTGGTTTTTGGGTTTAGCGTTTGGGTTGCTGTTAGTTTTTCTTTGTGTTGCTTTTAATTTAAATAATGAGCTATTGCTAAGAGTTGG